CACATGTACCAATTCATATTCTTACAATATTATTAACCACACTTTTGTGGCATCAGATCTAAACACATAAAATTCAAGATGTTTGCAAAATAATAAAACTATTAACTCTTTGCATAATTTTCAAGTCGTTTGGTTGTAAATGTATGAATTGTATGGATTGATTTTTGGTTTCTTTGTTTTTTTTTTTTTTTTTCCCGAGTCTCTTTACTTGTATTATTTAAAAGGTTTTATTTTATTTTTTAAGTATATTTTTAAGTATATCCAAACGATCCAATCTAATAATTATATGACAATTGATCCAGTTCAATCTTATAATTTTGTGACACTAGTGTAAACACATAAACTTCAAGCTAGTTGCAAAACAATAAAACTACTCTTTATATAGTCTTCAAAGTATGTGTTGGCCGTAAAGATATGAGATGCATGTGTCAGCTTTTGGTTTTTATATCTCTCTAAATCTCTTACCTAAATTAATTTGTGGCCGTTCACTGACCCAACGAGGAGAGCTGCTCACTTTTGTGGCCGTTCTTATGTCCCACCATGGTTTAAGTCAGCAACGTATAGAAAGAATGCTACTATAATAACAGTTATTTTTCTTTTCTTTTCCTTTTTTACAAAGGATTTGATAATAAATAAATTATGAAACGTAAAAAGATATTTTTACACGTCTGTTATTATCTCTACGAATACCTACGACATGTAAAACAAAAAATTCGGGCATGGTTTAAGTGAGCAATGTATCTACAAGAATGAGTAATTAATAACAGTTGTGCTTGCTTTTTTTTTTTTTTAATAATGGATTTGATAATAAATAAATTATGTAAATGTTAAAAGATATTTTTACACGTCTGTTATCTGTTATTATCTCTACGAAAGTATACGACATGTAAAACGAAAAATTCTGGCATGTTTTGTTTTTGTTTTTGTCAACCCATTTGCTACATAGAACGGTGTCGTAAAATAAAAAGCTGATTTGATTTTAATTTATTCTGCTGGTTTGAATTAAGGGAAAGCCTTCTTAGACAAAGTTCGGTCATTTAATCAGATTGGACCCTGTAACATTGGGCTCTTTATTGGGCTTTTACTTGTACAATTGGTTTCAGTCTAAGGAAGCCTTTCTCCATGGGTAATTATAATCAATGCTGATCAAGATAATAATTAATTAGTTTTTGAAAATAAATATACTATCTGTTATAAAATAAATAGAAATGATAGGAGAATTGAAGAAAATGATGACAAGAAAATGAAATCACCATAATGTGAATATGAGTGATAAGAACTTCAAAGTTTCTCTTATTATCTCTAGGAAACTTGTACATCAACTAATGAACAAATCAAGTCTATTTATAGGCTTCAAAATTGAGGAGAGAATTGAAAGAGACTATGAATAATCAATTGCATCACCCTTTCAATTTCTCATATTGAATGATGAATTGAATCATATTAATAATCATGAGTAGTGGGGATATAAAAAATGGATGAACATGATGATGGACATTTATTATTTCTTAACACTATTTAATTTGTTTTCAAAAAATAAAGAGACTACTTTATAATTTACCTCGAAAGACGTCAACATCAGAGCCACATATCAGTTTCTTTTCTTTATTATGTCTTATAAGCAATACTCTCGAGTGTCGTCGAATAATATCATCATATGTATACCTAAGTTTCATGTCATGTGTTTTGTTCTCATTTACACACTAACAAAGTTTTTTTTTTAAAAACCAAATGCTTTAAACGAAAATATATCTCATAATCTATTTGCTATTATTTGTTTTTGCTTAAATCAAATGAAAGTTGGTGCTATAATATTCAGAATATGAATATTTTTTATTAACTGTAGCACAATGAAAAAAAAAGAAAATTGATTAAATATCAAGTTAATCATTTCAAGATACTTTTTAAGTTTTTTTTTAATGGATTGCATTATAAGAATTGGATTGAATTTCATCCATGCCATTTGTGTTTTTTAATTAAATATTTTTTAATGAGAAATCAATTTAGCTATATTTGTCCGATAATTAATTGGATTACACTCATTTATCATTCAATTATCAAATTTATTATGATTTGAGATGATTATAAGTTTAAAATAACATGAGCCAATACTTTGATCGTTAGATACTCGATTATATCGTAATTATTAAATGTTAAAAAAATTTAAAATATAAATAGAATGACTTTAAATCGTTGATCTTAATATTTTATAATAGTAAATTACATTTCATTATTCCTAAATTTTCATTTCGTTATGAAATGAAAGTAAAACATTTGCAATCCTACATCTGATTCGAAGGGTCAGTGCTATTTGATGGTCGCAAGCTCGCCAGTGCATTGGACTTGAGGCTGAGGATGGTTGACTATGCAGATTTAAGCAATTATGCTATTACAATTTTATTTTATTTATTTATTTTTGGTACGTGATGGAACTCTAGGCTTATGACTGAAAGTGTTGTATTTTGTGGAAAAAAAACTATCTCAATCAAACTGTTAAAAATAATTTTTATATTATTTTCTAAAATATATTCACACATATTTAAAGAAATTTTTACATCGTTTCTTTATGGAAAATAAAGCTTAATGATATACCTTTAAAAGCGAAATTATCCAATATCCATATTTTTACCTTTTCATGAAGTTAGTAAGGAACTTGATCCCTCAGACTAAAAAATTTCGTCCATCTCGTACCTGCCTAGTGGTTCAAGGTTGGATTCTAGACGAGGGCGGTTTGTGATTAGATTAGGCTTTCTAAATTAAGGATTCGTCTAGCCGTGTCCTGGGCCCCTGACTCTACTAGAGGCCATATTAATTGGGCTCTGTTGATTTGTACGTTTTTTTTATAATAATAAGAAGAAGAAGAAGAAGAAGAAGTAGTTTTAAAGGGAGATCGAGGACTCTAATATCTATGGATTTTAGGTATAACTAGTTATTTTTTTACGCTCCGCTACAGATACGATAAAATATATAAAATTATTTATTTTAATTTTAATTTTATAATTTACTTTATAATATGAATCTATTAAAATATATCAAATCAAAAATAAAAAGATGTTAATTTTTTTATAATTTTATATTTAACTAATTATTCATTATGTTTTTTTATTAATTTTTTACTGAAAAGAACATGATTTATTCCTCTATATCCAGATTTTTAAATAAAAACTTATAAGAAAAATTAAAAATCTATGAATTTTTAACTCAAAACTTTTGCATAATATTTTTCCTAAAAATTTGAGACAAATTATTTAAAATAACATTTAATATATATATATATATATATGCTACCATCATTTAAAAATTAAAAATTCAAAGAATTCACTATATAATTTTTTTTAAAAGAAAATAATCATATTCCAAAAATTCCCACACACATATATATAACCACGCTACCATTATTTAAAAATTAAAAAAATTCATCATATAAATTTCATGAAAAAATTTTAAAAGCAAATACCAATATTCTAAAAATTCATAACCTTTCTTATAATATTTTTTCCTAAAAAATTTGAGACAAATTATTTAAAATAACATTTTTAATATATATATCCGTGTATGTGTGTGTGAAGCTTGGGAATATTATTGTTTGCTTTTAAAAAAATTATATAACGAATTCTTTGAATTTTTAATTTTTAAATGATTATATATATAACCATGCTACCATTATTTAAAAATTAAAAGGATTCATCACATTAATTATATGAAAAAAAATTTAAGAGCAAATAACAATATTCCGTAAATTCATAAAAAAATTAATATATAGATCTCTCCTTTCTCCCTCCTTTTTCTTTATTTCTCTCTTCTTAGCAATAAGAGACTAGATTATAATACAAATAAAATTATGGATAGAAATAAAAGTTGAAAAAATAAAAGACGAAAGAGCAACATGAGCAAAAAATACACATAAAATGCTCAAAAAACTTCAAAATTATAAAAAACAACACTCAAGGTACAATAAAAGGAAGGGTGAATAGTGTTATGGATGTATTAAATGCCTTAAAAATATTTAAAATAACAAAAATGCCACTAATTTAATTTACAAAAATATCAACCTAATGAATAGTAATTTGTTAGTGTGTGGATAGTAATATCTCATATGTTTTAGGGTTCTTTGTAATTAGGCATGATTCAAAAAAATATATTTTAATATATATATATATATATATATATATAATTTATTCAATATTCCAAAAATTATGTTGTTAATGGCTTTTATTTGCCTTTTATTATTGGAAGAAAAAATGTGATATCTATGCTTCTTTTTTTCAATTGAAAGACCCAACAATAAAGTAGGGTTTTTAATCTTGATTTATTAAGCATCTATCTTGTACACAACTAATCAACTATTTTTTTTCCTATTGAAGGGAGAGTTTGAAGCTCTAGAAAGCAATTACATGGCACACATTCTAGAAAAACTATTTCCAAACGTATATTTTAATACATGTGTAGAATCCAAATAAGCATTTGTATTCATTAATATTTTTTGGAAGATCTAACTAATAAAAGGATAATAAGGGTACCGATAATATTAAATATCTCTTTGATATATCATATTAAGGAGTCGCTTAAGAAGACGTACTATCAGTCATATCTCCTAAAAGGACAAACACTTTTGTAGATAGGCTAGGTAATTATGCAAGGATCGATAAAATGTCTCAATGCCAATATAAAAGAAGCAAACTTTAAGAAAAAGCATTAGATGCTCCCTAGGAAAAAAAAAAAAAAAGAAATTGGCAAAAAGGCCAAAAAAAGCAAGGCAAGAAAGACCAAGTAGAAGAGGGCAAAAAAGATAACTAGGTAGGAGGACATAATGGCATTCAACAATAAAGTAGGGTGATAACCATAAATGCCCATCGTTTGCTTTGTTTTTGATTGGTGATGAAGCAACCTATCCTAGTATGGGTGGTCAGTAAAGAGGGAACCGATACCTGCAATAAGAAGAATAACAAAGGTCATGAAATTGATATTATGCACTTCTCAATTGGAAATGCCATTCCGGGATGACTCTATGGTGGGAATCGTTAGACAGCATAGATGGGAATGAAGGTGATAAGTTTGGTCATTCGGTTGATCTTTATGCTTGGAATGCCATAGATACCTTTATGGTTTTGGTTCTTCAAGGAATAATTGTAACTCCTATAATAACTAGAAAGGGGCATGGTGGCACGGTAGCTTCAATGTTCACTTAGGTTTTGTAAAGGAAGATAATCCTTATACATCAAATAATCGAAGGGAATGTATTTTTTTGAATTTTCTAGCCTTTTAAGAACCATGGATTGTCTCCAACAGACAAAGCAAAGGAAGAGGACAACTTCAACAATGGTTTTTGTCTCCTCTCTCTTCATTGATCGAACCATACCAAGTCACACTACAAGCCTCCCTCATTCATGATTTCATCTTAAAAACATCTATTATTACGAGTTTCATACTTTGGACAAAATCAAGAAAAAAAGAACGCAAAACTTATGGGTTGTTTTGTCATTGACTATAATAGGAGTTTGAGTTATTATTGACAAAACAAAACTTAATATATATATATATATATATATATATTATTTGGATTGTTGAGTTTAGAAGGAACAACTTAATGTTATAGATCGTATTTGTATTTTTTTTGTAGGAACAACATAGCAACTCCATTGTTGCCAAGTCCCATTAAGTTGCAATAAGTTTAATTGGTTGCGGTATCTTTGTCAACGGATAGTTGCTCTCCTTTTCGACTTACTAAATAATCCGTTATCATCGAGGACAAAGCCGTAATGCTCTAAAACTATTTTTAACCAAAAAATAATCATTAAAATAAAGTCATTGGTAACTTTTCACCTATGGGATAAAGTCGCCGGTGATTTTGAAATCATTTTACTTGGTTTCGTTCATTAGAAAAGAGGTCGACAATGACTTTCTACCTATATGGATGAAGCCGTCGATTGCCTCTAAAAAATCATTTTTATCCAAAAACTAATTCTTGAATGAAGTCATTGATAACTTTCCACTTATGTGATAAAGCTATTATAGATTTTGAAATCATTTTATCGAGCTTCTATTCATCGAAAAGGGACCATCGGTGACTTATCGATGCCAATGGTCTTAAAGCCATTTTTATCCAAAAATTGATCATGGAAATAAAGTCATTGGTAACTTCTCTTTATGTGATGAAGCCGTCAATGGTTTCAAAGTTGTTTTATATGTTTTCTACTCATTTGAAATGAAGTCGTTAATAGCTTCTAAATCATTATTGTCCTTTCAAATGATCTTTGTTATGATTTTGAGTCATAAGAGACTTGCCACTTTTATTTTACAAAACATCTCTCGTTGTGGTTTGTAGTCATAAGTGATTTGCTATTTTCTTTTCAAATGATTTCTTTTATGGGCTTGATTCATAAAAAAACTCATCTTTTTTATTCGAGAAAACATCATTATCGTAGGTCTGTAGTCACAAAGGACATGTCATTTTCTTTCCAAATGAATTTTTTATAGGCTTGAGTAGGGACTCATCATTTTTATAATGACGTAACATTTCATCATGAGACTGCAGATCATAAAGGACTTGTCATTTTCTTACCAAATAATTTCTTTCATAGGTTTGAGTCACAAGAGATTTACCACTTTTATTCCGATAGAACATCTCTATCGTGGGTCGTAGTCATAAGAGATTCTCCACTTTTATTTCAATAGAACATCTCTATTGCAAGCTACAGATCATAAGAGACTCATCATTTTCTTTTTAAATTATTTCTTTTATGGGCTTAAATCATAAGACACTCGCCATTTTTATTCGACATAGCATCATTATTGTAGGTTGTAGTCATAAGTGACTTGCCACTTTTATTTCGATAGAACATCTTTATCGTAGGCTGCAGATCATAAGAGAATCGCCACTTTTATTCGACAAAACATCTCCGTCGTAGGTTATAGTCACAAGTTGCTCGTCATTTTATTTCCAAATGATTTATTTAATGAGCTTGAGTCACAAGAGACTCACCACTTTTATTATAACGTAACATCTCCGTTACGAGTTGTAGACACAAGAGACTTGCCATTTTCTTTTTAAATGATTTTTTTATGGGCTTGAGTCACAAGAGAGTCACCACTTTTATTCTAACGAACATCTTTGTCACTGGTCGTAGTCATAAGTGACTCGTTGTTTTGTTTCCAAATGATTTCTTTTATGGGCTTGAGCTAAAAGACTCGCTTGAACTTTGAATTACTCTACCACTTCATCAATAAATTCACTCACATAGGTATAGAAACATGGCATAGTAAAACTAAACTTTTATTTTTACATGAAAACAATACGATCTACCTTAAGTAGGACGAGATGGTAGTAATGTTATATCTTCTCTATACGTAACTAACTTCTTACCTAGATATATATACACGGACTAGTTTATTTAAGGGTTTTTTAGTTTTCACAAATTAGCTAGGTGGTGAGTCTTTTTTCCCATAAGCTCTTTGCGAGCCTCCGTCAACATCTATCATTGAAAAATACCCAATAATTTTTATTGTTGGTGGTTTTAGTAATAGTAGGACACCTCTTTTTGTTATTCTCATTAAGACAGATGAAAAGATTATGAGAGAAAAATAAACGCTAAGGAGTTGATAAAGCTCATTTTAGTTAAGAATTTGAGGAAGTTATTGATGGTGTCGTTTAATTATCGGGTGCTATTAGAGAAGATTGAATTCATTGAAAATGAATTAGGTTTGTCGCTAGATTTCATGAACTCTTTAATTCCAAAATACCTAGAATTTTTTTCAATGAAAGATTCTAGTGGAAAGCTTATCTACATATAGAGAATTGGGATTCTTCATTAGTAGTTACGTCTCGTGAGGAACGATTTAGACTTGAAGGTGTTTTTGCTACAAATCCAATAAAAAAGAATGCTAGAATATCAAAAGATGGTAACTTTTTTGGTCCATGTGTTTTAGGCCAAACATGGGTTATGTTAAGGAACTTCAAAAATGCCAAAGAATGGAATTCCTTTCTCCATATTTGAATGCAAGGAGATTTAAAATTATTGATCCAAAGATGTGAAAGTGTGTGGTGACAACGCTTCAAGAGCTCCTTAGTTTGACTATAGAGAAGAGGATGATATGTTCTCAATTGGATGCTTTTCATTCTAAGTATATGTTTCCATCTAGATTACTAATTTATTTGATAAAGCATCATGGTATACTTTACATCGGTAATAAAGGTGCAAGGGTGCTCGTGTTCCTTAAGGATGCTTATAACGGTTCTAATAAGATCAAAAAATGCCTTTTACTTTCATTTCGTGATAAGGTTGTAGCTCTTGGTGGTCGTGCGCCAATTGATACATCGGTAATAAAGGTGCAAGGCGTGCTCGTGTTCCTTAAGGATGCTTATAACGGTTCTAATAAGATCAAAAAATGCCTTTTACTTTCATTTCGTGATAAGGTTGTAGCTCTTGGTGGTCGTGCGCCAATTGATTCATGTATTCTAATGTCATCTTTACTTAGTATTCGAACCGATGGTAGGGATAGTTATCTTAGTTACTATCTTTACCTATTTTGTTTTAGGAGATCAAGACTTTAATAAAATAAATCGATTTTGTTCTCATTAACTTTCTCTCCCTCTTTTTTTTTTTGACATATAAAGAGATCTAAATCTCAACTCGGTTATGATTAGAAATGAGTCATTAGTTGATGAATTGAAAGAGGCTTTAGTAGATGTTGAGGAAAAGCTTTAGATTATTCCTAGAGAGTAAGGAGTTATAGAGGCGAATAACATTACATCTTTTTCTTTCAGTTTGGTCGGTGAAGTTCCCGTCCTAACCTAAATATTAAGGACGTATATTTTTTTATTAGTCACCTAGGAGTTTTTTGAGTTTTTCCAAATGGCATCTATCCTCTTTATTTGTTTCTTTTATCTAGGATAATTTTAGATTTAGCATTGGGTTAATAGTTACAAAGATTTTTTTAATCTTTCGTTTGTTTTTATCATATATCTATACTCTATTTCATCTTCAGTCTATTTCTTTACTTTTGGATTCTTTTTTAATCATTTTTTTGTTAACTTTTAGTTTAATAAATTTTTTAATCATCTTAAGGTCTAGTGTGGTTGTTAAGTTAGAAGGATGGAGTTTTGGGGATGATCAACCATGGCTAGAAAGAGGGACGACAATGGTAGGGAGCTAGAGACGATTGGACAACGAGTGGTATTTTCTATATTAACTAAAAAATAACAAGGTAAATACTCCATATGCTATTCTTTTTATAACTTTTAAAAACCATACAATCAATATTAAAAAGTTTTAACCAGATCCAATCCAGATGAAATCATGAAACACTATTAATGGGTTGGGAAGAAAATTACTACCTTATAGATTTGATTATGATTATTCCATCACTATAAAGGTTTTTTTCTTCTTTTTGTTTCATATGTATTAGGATGCTCTGTATTAGAATTTAGATGTTCTTGTTTGGTATTATCCCTTAATTGGAATTCCAATTCCATCCATCCATACTCGGATTTGTTGGTGAAAAAAATAAAACTTTCTACTATCAAGATTGTGTCACCTGTGAATTTGATACTTGTATTCTTTTATGGGAAATAGGGATAGACTTATGAGACCATGCATCATATACACAAGTATAGAATGTCCATAATGATAGACTAAGATAGGTCCTTTCGTTTTAAACTATAAATTTTCTCTTGCATATTTAGATAGGTGTGAACATTTGGAAGAAGTTGCATTTATTGGACTAAAAGTACTTAGAAGACTCACTTTAAATTATAATACAGGATTAATTGATCAAGTGATATAGTAAGGTGTTTTTTATGTATTGTGAATCTGAATGAGTTACAAGTAAGTTCATCATTGTTGTGAAAAAACATTACCAATAAGGCTAAAAAATTATAGTTTACCCGTAAATCAAACACGTAAATGAAATCAATACATTGTGCAAACTCTACTAAAAACTTAAACAACGATTGCTTCTCTATCTCCCGTAAAAATACCTTCAATCCAAGAATAGAAAACCCATATTCTAGAAGAGCTACCAAAAAACATGAGAGCTTGCGAGTGCATTTTGCTAGAGAAATTGATTTCAACAACCAAAAGTTGTTAAAGATGGAGAAAAATACGACCGCACTTCCCCAATGCTAAATAGGTTGAGGATTGAGAACCATAAACTCAAACAATCAGCCAAGAAAGGTTTATTTTTTACTAATTTTTATTAATCATTCTCTAATAGCATTTAATTTTAATTCCCATGCTTAATTCATTTATTTTAACATATTTTGCTAGGCATAAAGTAGATTCAATCAATTATCACACATAATCCGACACTCGCAACACAATTTAAAGTCTTAGAGAGATGAGTTTAAGTAGAAAATTAAGGGATTAGAGATGAAAGTGGCTTAAAATTATTGAGAGTGGAATATTTTTCATATGTCGGAACATCCTAAAGATTATTGATGAAACCTAATTTTATTTTTAAACTAATTTAGGATAATTTTAAAATGTTAAAGAATTGATGATTAGATTCTCTTATCATTCCCACTTGAAGAATATTTCACATTTAGTATCGAGTGTCATTTTATTTTTAATATATTGTATATATCTTATGTTTGTTTTCTTTTGTTTGAATATAGATATAAGTCGACCTACCAAAACTATGCTTCTTTCATGTATTTACCACACTAGGGCAAGAGAAAAGATGAAGAACAATGAAATTGCTCAGCTTGAGCAAAATTACAAGAAAAAGATAAATGCATTTAAGGAAGAGGTTGCTAGCCATGCTACTCTGTTGGAACAAAGTTTATAAAATCGCATATCTTTAAAGATTGTCTTTCAAAAGGTAAAAATTGATCGATCATCTATTTTTCTAAAAGCGTTCACTACCATACCATCATCGATCACTCAAACTACCGCTTCGGTACCACCTTGGGTATACCCAATCTAGAGCTTGTTGGTATCACTAGCTAATTATCTTATACTAGATGGTACGTATGAGTTTGCTCCTAGACCTTCGAGCCTTTTGTATTTCATCGAACTATCCAAGCACTAGCAATAATAACTACTAATTTCATCATCGAAGAGTTGGCTTGAAACCGAGAAGCTTATAACCATTGAGGAACGCCCGAGAGCTATCAAATACGTAGATATATATAACCCTTTCCTCGAGTATAGATAAATATCTAATGTTAAACGTGGTGATTCTTAAGCGACTCAAAGTGCTTAAACTTACAAAGTAAACTAATAGTTAATATCTTAGAACCTAATTAAGGATCTATTTAAACAAGATGGATGAGGTAGCATATGATGAAAAGTTACCGATCCATTTCTTTCTCGAGAGTCTCAACAGATCTGCTATCAACAAGTTTATTGACCTAGGCGGAAAAAGATAAAAAATTAAAAGGATTTAGTGGATATATTCATGAGGTAGTACAAGGTTAACCTACGGATAACACCTGACGGATCGAGCCTATAGTCTATGAAAATGAGCTTGAATGAGTCTATAAGAGAATATGCTTAAGGATGGTGAGAAATAGCTTCTCAAATTCGTGATTCCCTTCGAGAAAGAACTAGTTACTTATTTTATCAACATCTTTAAGACTCCATATTATGACTATCTATTGAGTAATAGGTTAAATAACTTTTATTGAGATAGTGTTTGCTATTGATCGGATTGAATAAGCCATCAAGTTGGGGAGGATAACCGACCCTTTATAATCTGGACATAAGAAGAGTAACTTCAACAAATGAAGGGACTCAAAAGCGTATTAGATTTGGGGATCTTCTTTCATTCTGAAGGCATTAATGGAAAAACTCTTGGAGAAATGGCAATCAATTTACCTTTTAAAATAACATGGTCAACTCAACTACATAAGTTATAATTCTTGTAAACCCCTTTCACGCTAATATAATTGACCGACATCCCAAACACCAACCTTTCAACAATATCAAATACAAGCACAATCTTTACCAAACACCAAATAATCCTTGCCAAGCTACTCAAACACCTACCCTACCTCATCCCAACATCAACCCTAAACTTATTACCCATTCCTATAAAAATTCAACTACCAACCAAGGCCACCCAATCAAAACTTTTCAAGGAATACCAAAAAGGGACAATTCAATGACATATTGCCATAACTTTCTATATCTCTTAGTGATCTCTTCAAACACCTTGTAATCATCAACCAAGTGGCTCTTGTGATAGTAACTCCATTTCAACCACCATTTCCATACTAGTACAAGCCAAACAAGGTATGAAAATATCATAGTGGCATCAACAATCATTATATTAAAAATTATGTGGGCTTCAAGAAAAAGGTATGGAATTTAATTGATCAAGGTTTGATTGTATTTGAAAATTCTTTAAAGCCTCTAACATAAATTTCAATCACTTTTCAAATCATCCAACTAATGAGGGAGTAAACATGTTATCATTGGATGACATAAAATATGACGAAGGAGATCAACCTTAAAAATCTCTATGTCTTAGTTGTTTGAAATGATGAGTGCCAATGGCTTAAACTTAAAACCTAAAGAGACCCAAGTCTCTATTTATGTCGAGTAATTTTTTAAGTTTCACAATATGAGTGGACATGATATTGATGATTATTATGAGTTTTATCGAATAGTTCATACCATGCTGATATTTAGAGCTTTGATGATAGAAATAAAAAAGGAGCATGGCAAGAGAGTGAACACTTTAGGGACGGAAGAGGATAATGTTAATAGTCAAGTCATATAGTTTGAGCTAGGACCTAATAACTCAGAGTTGGTAGCTTTTTCATAACTCATAATCTACACACTTAAAGATGCTAATGATGTTGACGATTTGTCCATAAAATAAACCAAAAAGAGGAGTTAAGTAACTAGTTTAATGAAGAAGTGCCTATTGTTTCTAAGATTGAGTTGTTCTCTTATTATGATTCATTTTTACTTTCTATCATTATAGTTCATCAATGCATTATGCCAAACTTTTTATCATGCTTTCACAATAATGTTATTTTGTTAGATCGTGCAAATTTTCTCCATCTTTGCCTTCTTTTTCTATTCATATTATTTGCATTCTTTCTTTGAGACATTCAATATAATCATATCTCAAAAACATCAAATGATTGCGCTAAATTTTTTTTAAAAAATGACATAATTATCCTAACTCGATGACAATGGATGATGAAAAAGTATTATGATTTTTATGGATTAAGCCATTTCTTTGAATGAAAAAGAAATCTCTACCTTTTAAACATGATTTATAAATTTAAAATAAAAAGATGTTTACTGGAAAGTATCATTTTCTATTTTATGTCATCGAAGTCGAAAGAAGTAAAATGATGAATGCATTCAATATATTTTGAAAGTGTTCAATTTTCAAAATATATCATGTAAATTCCAAGAGGCAATTCCTTCCTTCAAAACCAAAACTCTCTTTTCCTAATGAATCTTTTTGATAACAACCTTGCCAAAGATAATTTAATGATATCCCAAATGAGAAGCCAAATGATTTGGTGCCTTAAATAATGATAAGTGATGCACACTCAAATTATGATACTATTTAATCTATCATTTAATCTTCATACATAAATCATGATTTTCAAATAAAACTAAAGCATGTCGACTCGCACAAGTCGGATCGAAGATGAAGAAAAGTAATTTTTTATATATCCTTCACAAATAAACTTTATCCTTTGTCATCCCACTTTGAGCCTTTGATAATTTCTTTTGATAAT